AGTTTCTTTGAAATCGGATAAGAATTGTGACCTGTAGAGGGTCAACAAACAATTCTGGACAGACGGACAGGGGCGTTGACAATATTTTCATGTGGACGTATAAAAAATAATCAAGGAACTCAGGTCTTATGCTTTATTCATGATACAGGAATGCACAACACCATTCATAGTTGTTTATAATAATTTATATGTTAAGAATTTGCGGTGGCTCAGTGAGTAAGATGCTGGCTTGGTAACCTGGAGTCCCAGGGTTCGATCCTGGAATTGACCTAGAAAGTTACTCTAGATTTTCTGGGGTAGTTTCACCTTTTCACTGGTGTGAGAAATTTTACCCTGACAGCAGTGCTACAGCCTACACATTGCCAAATTCAAACCACCATGGGTTCTTTAATGTGCACACCAATATGTACATGAACCTTGGTTTTGGTCCCATCCAAATGACTAGGCGCTGATCCTTGCCAGACTCTCAGTCCTACATCACTGACTAGAGGGATCTAGGCAGAATAACTTTATCTGCCAACCTTGGGCCACCTTGTTAGTGAGCAAGTAATTTTTCATTTGCTGTATACTCTACATTACCAGTAATACATGTACTAATAATCTTGTGAACTACAAATCTTGCATCATAATTGTAATACTTATCTAAATCTATCGCCTGTTCATCCCACTTCCTATGACTTTTATTGTATCAATTGAAATGTTAGGCCTACTAGTTGTGCTGTTAGATTTTAACAGTCACAATAATCCGAATTGAAGTTACGGTCAAATCTTGGTGTTGGTGGAGAAAAAGCTTTGGCATTTTTCCTACCTGGTTTTTATTTGTTAGAGGTACCTTCCTGCGTACAAACTGGGTGATTTGATGATATATTTGGACTGAAAACATATTCAAACTAATTAATCTAAATTAAAAATTTACTTTAAATCCCTTTCGAAACATTGTATTCGAGGGAAATATCCCAAGCTGTAAAAAATCTATTAAAAGAAGACATGTTTGTGTCATGTGATTTTGCAGTCACGGTAAGTAGCAACATGTCACATGTGCGAAGCTGGAGGAGAATTCATTGCATATAAAAGACAATGTTGTCTTTAATCGCTGCTCATTTATCATAAATATCGAAGCCTAAGTAAATTCTCAGATTATCCACTGCCCAATGTCTTTTCCAAGGTTTTTAACTCAAAAAGTGTTGTTAGCTGTTGTATCCTGATTTGAACCGAGTTGCAAAAATAAAAATCTGTGTACGTATGAAATTTAACGCCAAAATACAGAGGAATAGTGTAGTTACTGTGTCTGAAAGTTTCAGCTCTTAATAAAAGTCTGGTTTTATCCAGACACTGTATAATACAGCTTGGGACACCGGTCTCCATTTCCAGATGAAGATTGACGGGTTTAAGTTGTTTGAAAATGTATCACGTATATTGACTTAGTTGCTCGATCGGCCCTAAGGTTGGTGGTTTTAGGGGCTTTTTTAACACAAAATTAAGCATGTTTATTCTCCAAAATATAATCGAAATTGGCCCTTTAAATTAAGTCTCTCACTTTGTCCATGTCCGCTCACCATCAAGTTTATTAATATACATCAAGCGCTCCTTAAAACCAAGAGGTCAGGCAATAGTCAGACTGCCAATTAGTGACACCCTCTCATTTTTTCCTGTGCACGCTCCATATGGGTGTTTTTCGAGGAATCCAGTATTTTCAAGTAAGACTGGATGTCTCTACTTTCCATATTCTAATATAAAAACTTTTCTGGGAAAGTATCTTTAAATAATAAGAAAGCCGAAAGTAATTACAAGGAAAAACTGAGTCATGGATACACTTATTACACCGTAACTTTTAAAAACAACATAAATTCCTTGAAAATTTATTCAAGGGGTAGGGTCACCTGTCCAACCTCGTGGGTTTTCTGCCACTGCTAAAGACCCCTACGCGCAAGCGAATTATTGAAATAAAATTAAACCATGTTAGTCCCAAAATGACCTAGTTTGTGTCGAGTGGAGTTAAACTACATCTCTCTCTCTCTCTCTCTCTCTCTCTCTCTCTTCACAACAATATATTGTATATGAAATTCAAATATGAAAACCTCTTTGACAAAAAACAAACAATGAAAAAAATCTAACTTGGAATCTCAGAAGTATCCTGATAAGAGCAGGTGTATATTATGAGATGTTATTGGAATGCTGTACACTACAGTATTTAATTAGGCTTATATTTTTTTTTCTGGCAATCCATTCCATGGCAGTGCAGTATGGAAGCCTATAGCTACCATTCATAATTTCTACTTTTCCGCCTCTTCACAACGCGAAAGTCGAAAAGTCGAAAAGTAGAAGTTATGATAAAATGTGAGGCGACAACACGCTATACAAGCCAAAATCAACTCGAAAATAGGAAATTAAGAAATAAAACACAGTGATAATAGTGCCCCTCGTTTTTTCCTAATTTCTTATTTTCAACTTGCATTTTGGCTTGTATACCGCCTTGTCAACTTTCGACTTAGTCATATTTTTGTATTTATTGATGTCAGTAAGAAGACGCCGACACGCATACCAAGCCAAAATGCAACTCGAAAAGTAGATATTAGGAAATTAACACACCACGCTATTAGAATTAGAGACTTTTTGACTTTCGCCTCCGAAGTTGTGAGAGAGAGAGAGAGAGAGAGAGAGAGAGAGAGAAATGAGGTTTAACGTCCACTCGACACAAACTAGGTCATTTCGGACCTAACATATGGTTTAATTTATTTCAATAATTCGCTTGCGCGTAGGGGTCTTTAGCAGTGTGAGGAAATCGGAGGACCTGGAGAAAACCCACGAGGTTGGACAGGCGACCCTACTCCTTGTCACTCGGAAGTTGTTGTAGTCTCAGTTTTCCAGGTCGCATTTGAATACGTGCAATCAGGGCTCACACCACTTAAATCAATGTCAGACCTTGTGATTTCACGCGCACGTGTTAAACCATTAAACCACCTAATCCCATGTTGTTGTATATATCGGTAGGGAAATTTGTTTTATAATAGGCCTATATAATAAATTAAATTGTTGTAGCCTAAGGTATTTTTGGCAGATAAAATATCCCAGTTGGCGGAAAAAAATCTGAACATTTTTTTATATAAAAATTATTATCCATTTTGACGGAAAAGAATGAAATACAGTGTGAGTCCTGATTGCACATATTCCAATGTGACCTGGAAAACTGAGACTACAACAACTTCCGAGGCGAAAATCGAAAAGTCGCTATAGCGTGGTGTGTTACATGTATTTCTTAATTTCCTATTTTCGAGTTGCATTTTGGCTTGTATAGCGTGTCGGCACCTTTTTTACTGACATCAATAAATACAAAAATATGATTAAGTCGAAAGTCGACAAGACGGTATACAAGCCAAAATGCAAGTCGAAAATATAAGAAATTAGGAAAAAACGAGGGGCGCTATTATCGCTGTGTTATTTCTTGATTTCCTATTTTTGTGTTGATTTTGGCTTGTATAGCGTGTTGTCGCCTCACATTTTGTCGTAACTTCTACTTTTCGACTTTCGTGTTTTGAAGAGGCGAAAAGTAGAAATTATGAATGGTAGTTATAGGCTTCATAGTGCAGGGAGCTTTGAAACTTTATTTTCTTTTCAAATGAATTTAATATTTTCATGTGAAAATACATTCGTGTTTTATTAATATTTGTTAAAAATAACCTAGTATCTACACTATCCTGATTGATACCATCAAATTAAAGTGTAATTTTAAATGTTGTAAGTGTGCCATCTATTCTTTTCACAGTGTTTTAACCACTGGGAAACACCCATATGACATCTGTTACCACAGCGACGATGACGTCACGTCTATTTTGGGGGATCCGTTTGGGGGAAATTCATTCTTCAACAATGTAATACGCACAGTGATCAGCCAAATTTAACAAGAGAAGCGTAAAAAGAAATACTTCGTATTAGCATAACAAGAAACTCTAAAATAGTTTCGTTCGGTTATCAGACAGCAAGGACTAATAATCCCCAAATGAACCCCACATTTCCTGGCAGACAGCTACCGCGAGCTGGGAGAGCCCACGCGCAAGGCTCAAATGGCGGCATTAAAATCAATAAATTAGCTTTAATTTTATTTTAGCCATTTCTATTTGATTACCTATATTAGATATAGGTTTGACTTTACATATTCCTATTTTAACTCCTGTTTTACGTTAAGGGTGAAAGAAAATACGTAAATTCTAACAACATAAATTGGGGTCATCCCGAAAATCCATACACACAACCTTGGCAATCATCCAACAAGGGGAGTTTTAGCTAGACGAGTCCATTGCATACAAAAAGGAGGACTGTTGTGCAATCGCGAGAAAGGATAACACGACCTCTACCGACTGTTCAAAGCAGGACATCCGGGATCGTTTTCAAATTGATATTCTGGTGACATTAGAATTCAGAAATAAATCTTAACAGCATTTCCATTTTAAATTTAGTCACTTGTGTATTTTCAATTTTCATGAAAGTGGAATGTCTCCAAAAACAACAACCCAAAGTTGCCAATGGCCTTGTGTAGGGCTACTCAAGCTACCACCCCTACATATTTTATATGGACTAGTCCAATATGTACGCCATCCCCACAATAAATATTGTTGTCGGCTTTCATGGAATTTCAAACTAGAACACCTCATAATCGCCATGTACTATTATTTTGACAACAGCTTAAATCAAATATTTAAAATAACCCCACGAATCTCTTGATGATGCAGCATGTTCTACAAATGACCAGTCAATTTTTGCCTACTTAAATCTAGTCCTGCATAACTAATTTTTACAGAAAGCTCGACAGAATGAGGACAACCCCATTCGTGGAAGACGGTATTTCCCCAAAATTAGAACACCATTACAACATCAATATCACAATACGGGTGGCGCTTTTTGTAATTGCCCCTTCTACAAACTACCATGCATGCACTGAAAAAGATTTTCAATGAAAAATAAGTTTTCTGGTTATGATAATAATGAAAAGCCCATTTACTTACGTTTTAAAGGAGACGATTGAGTCGATATCTTTCTGGTGCGTGGCATCCCTCGTTTAAAATCACTCGTGCTGGGTTCTCACACACTGTGTCCGCGCGGATCCATTTAGGGAATCCTCACCGAATCATCATAGGCCTTGATGAAGTAGCACAAAGTAATAATGATCTTCAAATTGTTGTAAATATTGCCAAGTAATAACGGGAATCTCGTCCGTAATGGGGGGGAAATTCTTTCGTTTCAACATGAACTGTGACGTCATTAGTCACCGGCGACCTTGTCTTAAAACGAGGCTGGCGGGTTTCCCAAATAGGTTACCGAATTCGGACAACTCTTAAGAATTGTATCACATTTAATTTGTTTACTTATGAAATAATTCAACTTTTGAGGTTGGGTGCAGGACACATTTTAGTACACTACAGTACTGTAGGCCTACCAAGTATGTCCCCTATTTTGTGAAAAAAATAAATAAATAACGAAACAGTGGGACAATCTTATGGGCAAAAGAGGAGTTTGTAGGCCCTACTATTTGACAGATGGAGAGTTGTCTAGTACAAAGCAGAGCACGTTAATTCCCATCCCCAAATCTCCACTGCATGAGGATGGCCGAGATTTAAAATGTTTATCTTGCCAGTGTGGAAACAACCTTCCCGAACCCCCCTATGACCCTATGTCCCAGTGCTGCAGATCAGGCCCGTAGCCAGCTTGCTAGCTTCGGAGGGGCAGTGAAGTTTTTAGGGGGGGGGGGGGGCACACCTGGCACAGTCTACAGTAGGTAATTTAGAGCTATGGTCGGCAATTTTTTTTCGGGGGGGAGGGGGGACCTAGTTTGTGTCGAGTAGACGTTAACCCCCCTCTCTCTCTAGTTTGTGTCGAGTAGACGTTAACCCCCCTCTCTCTCTCTCCTCTCTCTCTCTCTCTCAAAATTGAGTCAAGCGGCGTCAGGCGCGGACTCAGGCCCAGTCCCAAAATAAAATTAAAGCTCAGTTACATATCTGAAATTTTTTCGCACCTTCACCGCTCGATTTTATTATGGCATCTTTTTTTCCACTCCTCTGTGCACATTTTCTGCCAACTCTTACAAAACACGCGTAATTGACAGGCATATCTCGAGATTCTGTCCCATTGACCCCCATTTCTGTTCCTATCGTTTGCTCCCAGCAATGACCCCAAAGGCCAGGATATTGACTCAAGTTTTCCAAACGTTCGCAGTAGGAGAACCCCCTACCCTTCAGGTTGCTAAGTGTTATAACAATTGCCCCTATAAGGTTCACAAAAATTTAATAACAAAATCAATAGCAATCATAATATAACATGAACTTTATGTCAACTTGAGGGAGATCACGTGGCTAAGTGGGTAAGGCGCTGGCTCGCTAGCCTGGAGGTCGGGTGTTCGATCCCTGCATTGGCCGAGAAAGTTCATCCAGATTTTCCGGCGTGGTTCCCCCTTGTCAGTGACGGAGGGCCTGACAAGGACAGCTGTCTAGTCCTACGGATGAGACGAAAAACCGAGGTCCCGTGTATACATTGGAATGCACGTAAAAGAACCTTGGCAGTTGGAATTCGATATAAGAGTAGGCGATAGTGCCGCTGCTCGGGCAAAATTTCCCTCATAGCACACTGTATGGCGTATGCCCGTCTTCATTAGCCCAGGTTAGGAGCAGAACAGTAGGACGTTAAACCCCATTTCATTTCATGTCAACTTGAATATAAAACTGCTTTCAGGCGAGATAACAATCGGCAAACAACTATATAGCCCATAATTAACAGAACACAGTTTTTATGGGATACAATCACTAGTTTATTCTAAAAGCCTATATAGCCCATAGGCAGCACGATCTATGTTCTACAGGGACGATCAGTGTTAAATTATAGCCAGTATTTTGTTGTCATGCATTGATGATTGAGTGATGATTGTGGATGGTGCCCTAGGTTTGGAGAGAGAGAGAGAGAGAGAGAGAGAATCCATTTCTACTTCAATAATTGACTAAGTTTGGAAAAGAGTTCCAGCCGGACAAAGAGAAAATGGGGAAATTATGGTGATTTGCGGTTATAACAATTTGTGATTTCAAAAGACGTATATATTATTTTCCTTATACTCGGTAGGTATAATGTTGTATCGCTTCAAATGGATCTATTGATTGTATATAATAATAATAATAATAAAAATAATCACTTTCTTTCGAAAGGGTAGAAAATTAGGCCGGGAGCCTTTCTTACATTTTGCCCTTTTAACAATATCAATCATGCATAGAATCCGGAACAAATTTATTTACATAACGATAATAAATATATTAGACGTGCTGTTTGATAAATGTGAAAATTATGTACACTATGAGAGGTATGAATAGAATTATACAAAATGTATACATATATAAATGTGAACAGTATTTGCTCGAAGATAAGTATGAATAGTATTATACAAAATATATGTACATGGATGAACATGGAAGCTGATGACATAGATCCATAAGCTTATATTTTTAATTTTATTTGGCAATGAATTCCATAACTGGGATCCACTCAATGTGGATTGAACTTATATTTTTAATATTATTTGGCAATGAATTCCATAACTGAGATCCTCTGAATGTGGATTAAGCTTATATTTTTAATATTACTTGCCATGGCAATGAATTCCATAACTGGGAACCTCTCAATGTATAGATTAGGCTTATATTTTTAATATTAGTTGGCAATGAAGTCCATAACTGGGATTCTCTGAATTTTATACTATTTTTAACAACAGAAAGCTGGGTTCTGAGAACAAATAATCTGTTATTAATATTATTATAGGGTGTATTATAAACGAGAAAAACATTAGTTAAATACTTCGGGCAACGATGATAAATTATTTTGTGAAGGTAGGAAAATATGTCTAATAAATTCCTTTCCTTAATTTTTAATAAGTTTAGATTCACAATGCCAGAAGATAAATATTTTAGATTTAATTGTTTATGACTTGTATCATGTAAGCATAGTCCTTAAAAACATTACTTCCAGGTTTTATTATGTTTAAGGACTTGATAATTTTATGGCCAGATTTGTAACCATGGAGACCTGAATTCATTCTAAACAATGGAAGCATCCGGAGTCGCCATCCCCCCAAAAAGCCAAACCGGTTTCTTCTGCTGGAAAGGTGATGGCTTCGGTCTTTTCGGATTCCAAGGGTTTTCAGCTGATTGGCTATCTTTAAAAAAGCCAAACTATCGATTGAAGATATTATGCTGACCCACTGAGACAGAATCTATCAAAGCTAAGCGACGGGTAATGCTCACTAAAGGCGTCCTTTTCCACAAATACAATACTCATGTTCATAAATCAGTGACTGTCATGCCAGCGACCGATCATTTTGGCTTCAAACTTATTGACCACCCACCTTACTCACCCGATTTGGCCCCGTCAGACTTCCACTTGTTCCAAAATCGAAAAAGGGAACTAGCCGGAAGTCATGTCAGCTGTGGACGACTTTTGTTAGGGTGTCTGTGAAGAAAATGTCTTCCTGAACGGGATCATAGCCTTGTTAGTTTGTGAGGGACGATATTCTGTGGGAAAAACAGAAAATGGGAAAATTATGGTGATTTGCGATTATAACAATTCAGGATTTCAATAGACATCTATTATTTTTCCTAGAGAGGGTGGGTTAGGGATTTCGCGCCTAGAGAGAGCAAAACGTCCGCTTGAAACGTCCACTCAGAACACATTTTACGTCAATTCGGAACGGCCACATGATGATAAATTCAATGCAAACTAAAACAGTTGTATTCCAGTGGGGTTTAACGTCGACTTGAAGCCAACTAGCTCATTTCAGGACTAACATGGTTCAATTTTATTTAAATAACTCGCTTGCGCGTAGGGGGCTTTCGCAGTGGTAGGAAACCCACGAGGCTGGACATGCGATCCTACTCCTTGTCACGTGCAAGCGGGAAATCGACAGACCTTATGATATAAGGCACACGCGGTAACCATTCGGCCACCCAACACCGCAAACCCAATGAAAGATTCTATCTGAAATTACTGAACAGATGTTGCTATCGATATAATTATTTACAAATTAATATGTTTACGGTTATTAATATGACATAAGCGTACATCTATTAAGTCGATAAAGAGACATTATTCCACAATAAACGACAGTTATAAAATTCTGGAATATGCATAACCAATGACATTTTTTTTTAAGCTGGCGCCAGTTGTGTCTTGAGGTGTTTAACGGGAGCATGGGTGTTTGTATTGATATTCGTATAAAATAGGACATTAGTATGGTGGCCCATGGTTATCATTGAAAAATGCGTAAAATATCCACCGCAAATGTTAAAAATTATAATAAAAATTTGAATGAAAATAAAAATTCGCTAAAAAAAAAAAAATAAATAAATAAAACCAAAATAAAATAAATAAAACTTAATCGAAAATGAAATAAAAAATAATTTAAATTCAATTAGATCTAAATTAAAATCGTTTTTGATAATTTAAAAAAAAAAACAAAGTAAAATAAATTTAAATAAAAAAAAAATAAATGAAAAAATTTTTTTTTTTTTTTTTTAAAAAAGAAGTTTTAAAACTTAATTGAAAAAAAAAAATATATATTTTTTTTTTGTTAAATCGAAAAGTGAAATGAAAACTAAAATACCCATGTCTCTACGTGGCCCATCGTTATCATCAGCCCATCGTTATCATTCAAACCGAATTGTAATCGAACGCGCCTCTAATTTGTCAAGCAGGGGGGAATAACTCTAATCATGATAGTGTGATATTTTACATCCAGTGATTCGGATGTATTGTATAGGGGAACAAGAATGAACTGTTAATGAATATCATAACTTCGACATAAGTCTCTCTATACTCTATCCATTTAACTTGATTACAGGCCTGCTCACTAATTAGTTTGATAGTCATTTTTACCATGTTGTGTCCGACATATACATGTACGTGGAAGGAAGATGAACTATTAAAGTCAAGTCTTCACGACTATGTTTTGCAAAATTTATCTAGATCTGAAATCTTGGATTACATGAAACGCGACTTCGATCAGTACACATGGTGCCTTCCAACTCTTAGCCGTCGGCTAGCCTACTTCGGTATAAAATATGTCAACTATCAGGTTGGAATAGACCATGTTGTAGCTGCCATTGAAGAAGAACTGCAAGGTCCAGGGAAACTACTTGGATATAGACTGCTGCATAAAAAAATCCGAGTTAACCATAAATTAGCAGTTCCAAGGCAGCTCGTATACGATATTTTAACTTCAAACCATGATGATCTGCTTGAGAAAAGAGCACCGAAAATAAAAAGAAGAAAAAGGGGCGGTATTGGAACATTTACGTCATTGGTAAGTTTTTAGTCATATCGTAATAATCTAATGAAAATTTCTGAGCGCTATATGTGGATGGGTATTATTTTATAATTAGACTAAGAGCTGTCAAAGACTGTATTATTCAATCTAATTTATAATTTAACCCGCTAAAGGCTAAGATCGGGCAGTGATAGTTTGGACATTTTAGCATGTTAAAAGCACGTTTGTCTTCGTACCCTTACATTGGCAGTGCGCGTCTGTACTAAATTGATTTAAAATGACATGGAAGCAACTTGAAAGAGATATTTTGGTGGATGGCCGGATGGTTAACGTGTGCGCGCTGTATCATACGGCCTGCCATTGGGTCAACTGGCGTGGTTTCGAATCCCCGGTTGTACGTGGCAAGGAGTAGGGTCGCCTGTCCAATCTCGTGGGTTTTCTCCGGTTTCATCCCACTACTAAAGAATCCTACCAAAGGTGAATTATTTCAATGTCTCCCTTTTTATATTATTTTAGAACATTACAATTTGTGTAACATTTTTTCAGGGTCCAAACCATACATACTCTGCAGATGGTCATGACAAGTTAATGGGGTTTCAGAGGAACATGTTCCCATTTGCTATATATGGTGTCCAAGATGTTTACAGCTGTAAGCTTTTGTATGTTAAAGTAGGAAAAACAAATAAAAATCCCAAGATTATTGGGAAATGGTATCATGAATTCATTAGCAGAACTGGAGGTAATTAGTAAATACATAATTTTAGTATTCAATTGGTGTTATCATAGGCATACGGGGCAATTTTTTACTTGGGGGGGGGGGGGCAGTGGTGGTAGGTGCCCAAAAACTGTAGTTAGGTTCTTAGTATGTTACATAATAATAATAATAATAATGACAGGTTCTACAATATCTTTTTTACGATGAATAAGTTCTTAATTTCTTAATCATCAATATAAGAGAACTAAATTTTATTTACTTGTAATTTACACAACTAAAAACAGTTGTTTGTGTAACTGTAACTCGTGGCTTACTGTACTCCAAACAATAGAGGGTTCAAGTCTTAAGATTTCTATTTAATTGCCTAGCTATAGACACTCTGAATTTAAATTCTCTGTTAAATTGGACACATTCAAGAACACAAAATTTTTTTATACGACTTTTACAAAGTATCACCCCCCACCCCCCAGCTCGTACACCTATGGGTGTTATTTGTCCTACAGATAATCTGCATTAAAAAATTTTGAACCCTTACTCACTGATCTACTTTTGAATTTTGAAATGAAATTTAATCTCATATTTAATTTTTCAAATTTGCACATCATCTGATAACTCATGTCCTACTGTATACTGAGATACAGTCTTTACAGATTTATAGGCTTAGGATCTAATATGAATCGTGTGCAAGCCACCTTTGACATGGATATTTTTTTATTTTTGGGGGAGGAAAGTGGAAGAGGGGCAGTCACTACTTAGCTCAAAACAGGTAATAAGTGTCTAAAAAGTTTATGGTAAATCAAAAAAGTATATTTGAGAGAATATTAAATTAAGATCATTTAACAATAATCTGCCTTTTTTCCCTTTCCAGTGATAAGTCAGATTTTGCGCCTGGACAAAGGATCAGAAAACGGTCACATGGCAACTATCCATGCCTATTTGCAGAGTACTGAATTTGAAAATCCAGAAGATTCTGTTATATTTGGATCTTCAACATCCAACAAGGTGTGGTAGGATTTCTATATAATTGGTTTAAGTTGTAACCATTCAAAATCTCTCTCTGGTCAATGCTGGAATAGCGTCTGTTTCTTGAACAGTTGGTCATAACTGTCATCTTGTAAAAATATAATTAATCATATCTTACAGGGTCCAGTTTTTAAGATATGACATTAGAGTCGTCAGTTACGTAGGGACAGTATGTGGGGGGGGGGGGGAGTTGTTATTATAGAGATGTTTTCTAACAAAAGGCATAAATTATTTAAACAACTGACCCTTTACCTACACGGAACTGGTTAATTTACAACATTTGTTGAATGTGAGTTATCAAAATCTAAACCTCCATGGTTGCATATTGGGATGCCTTGTTTTAAACATTTTGGTTAACAGTCATTTGCTTACATTGATAAGTATTATCTCATTATAATTTTAGATAGAAAGATGGTGGCGTGAACTTCACTCTCGTCTTGTTAAGTACTTTAAGGAAAAATTCCAGTATTTATTCGATCAGGGTTATTACAACCCTGATGAGATTACAGACAGGTAAATCGAATTCAAATTAAGTACAAAAGACAAGAAAAAGAATTATGGTATAAAATCAAACATATTAGCTGCTTTACTCCTCTAAATTCAAATGATATAGAATTATTATCATTATTAATAAGATATAAGCACTTATGTGGTACATATGTTCTATATCTTCAGAGAAATACTTGCACTAGTTTATTTACCACTGGTTCAAGAGGAAATCAATAAGTTTGTAGAACTCTGGAATAACCATCGCATGAGGAAACAAAACAGTGATCTGCCCAAAGGAATTCCCAACCACCTGTATGACTTTCCAGAAACATATGGCTCTACTGAATGTGGTATGTATACATTATACCAATGTCATATCCCTCATGAATGAATGAGAATCAATGTCTGGTTTTCATATACTTTCAATATACTACACAATGTCTCACATATGACCATTAAACAGCTTAAAATACAGATATACTATCATGCGTAGGCATTTCAATGAAATCACCATGCATGTCCAATATTTCTTCGTTTATAAATAATGTACAACTACCATGTTGCCAGTTTCACCATCAAGGCTCCTATATATGAAAGTCAAAGATTCCAGTATTATTTGCATATGTTGCAGTTGCCATGCCCCGAGTTAGCAAGTTTTTATATTGTGTTTTCAGGATCAAGAGTGTCTGAAGCAGAGTTAGAGGATGTAAAAAACTTAGCTGATGTATTAGATGATGGCGCTTTTGTTGACAAAGAGTTAGAAAGGCGAAGCAAGGAACTATTGCCCAATCTATCAGAATTGGAATTAACTGATGCTCTTGAAGCTTATTTGTATCTGAAATCATCAATGTCAAATTATAGGTTATTCATTGAGGTGTTACATTCATCAGTTCCAATGAATATAACCAAAACTCCACTGTTCTTGATATTGCAATCATTATTTTGAAGACCCTGGCTAGGATGATTCTTATTTTAGATTAGACTTATTTTAGGTTAGCTTGCTTTGCCGACACCAGTATGCATAGCCCAACTTGTAGACATGGTTTTTGTAGCGTACATGTAAAATTCAGTTACAATTCAAATAAAGAATAACATGACTATGTAGTGAATTTTGTTATATCTACAAGCAATTGGTTGGACATTATTAGTCAGGAGTCCTAGAATTCAGTCATCCACTAAGAAATGAATAGATGCAATGAAATGAAAGGTGGTTCAATGTCCTACTCCGACTGGGCTAATGAAGATGGGCATATGCCATACAGTGTGCCTTTAGATCTTAAGGTATGCCATTGAGTTAAGTGACTTGGTTTCAATCCCACACAGGGGGGTTGGATGGCTGAATGTTTAGCCCGTGCGCTATATCACAAGGTCTGTCATTGAGTGAACTGGTGTGGTTTTGAATTGCCGGAGTAGGGTAGTTTTTCCAACCTCATGGGTTTTTTCTCTGGGTCCTCCGACTGCTAAAAACCCCTAAGTGCAAGCAAAGTATTGAAATAAAATTAAAACCATATGTTAGTCCCGAAATGACCTAGTTTGTGCCGAGGGTGATTGGATGTTAAACCCCAATTCTCTCTCTCTCTCAATCGCACACAAACTACATGGAAGCGAATAATTGAGAAATTGTTGTACCATATGTTAGTTGCCAAATGACCTTGTTTGTGTTAAACTCCATCTCTTTTCCACTCTGTAGTATAAGTAGGCTTTTGTTTACCAAGACACCAGTATTCAAATAACTGTGAGGCCAACAAATGGCCGATTCAATCAATTTCTTTTTTTTTTATAAACAATATTTTATTCAGAATGTCTGAATGGGATTGGGGAACAGGCTTGGCCTATGTAAAACCCCTCTCAATTTCAAGTTGTATAAGACATCAGAATGGGAAAATCTGGGTGCTCAAATACAAGTAGTTAGCCTATTACCACCACTGATATTATTGAAAATCCATATGAATAATCAGACAAGTGAATGTCTATATACTAATAACTTTGGAAATAAAACAAGTATTCAAGATACAAGAGATACATTTACATGATTATATTAATTTATTAAACAACACATAATATAATAATTTATTCAAGATAAAATATACAAACAAATGTTTTAACAGGCTACTTTATCTGAGATGAGAAGTCTTAAATTCAAGTCTTCTGGAGATATATTTAAGGCTTGCTTTAAATTTAAATAACTCCCTGATGCCAGAGCTCAGACTAATTGGAGCTGAACATTAAACAATATTAAAACTCTTCCCACTAAACATTTTTAGAAGTAAATATGAGATTAAAATATCAGTTAGGTCATAATGCAATAAACCTGCACAGCAAACAAATGATACCTTCAGAAATATCATTCATATTCACTTGAAGAATCTTCAGCAGAAATTAACTTTTCTTTATCGATCATTATTTGACAGTATTTATTGCATCTATGTTCACATAAAAAAAGTTTCAATGCCAGTAATAGATAAATTTCCACAACAAAACATTATTTGATTCGAGTCAGTATCTATCAATTCTGTTGTACAGATTTCTGGGTCAAACAGGGTATATCCACTACCCTGTATATCCAGAACCATTAATTTCTTATCAAACTTTTCGTATGTATAATGAACAAAACACTGAGCTTTCAAAAAATCTCCTTGTCTTTAATAGTAGCCATATCTGAAAGTGGTACAATAACTCCATTATTGTTTATCCATTTTTTAAATTGTCCATCAACATACTCCTCAATCGTGTATGGTGTAGTGTTTATTTTACAAAAATAGACATTATTGTAAGTAAAGGATTCTCCAAATTCTTGACTAATTTTTGAGTTGAAAGCCTTGGTTATTTGTGATGCAGCTGTATGCATTTGTACTTGTTTCCTGGTTATATCCTCCAAACTTGAATCTAGTGTTTCAAGAATAGTTTTTACAGTTGCTTGATTAAACTTTTTAAGAACCCACTTTGAATGGTCTTTTATTTTTTCCACCATATAAGCTTCACGAAAGCCCCCAGAAGCAAAACTTTCCTGTTCAATTAGAACTTCGCCAGACATTTCTATCTTCCAAACTTTATCATGAATGTTAAAACTTTCAAAATCTAAGACGCATTTAGACTTTTTAACAGGTTGAATCAGCTTTCCAGCATTAAGAATGCTTTCAACAGATACAGAAACAGGGTACGATGGCTTATCAAAACCATTTTCACTTTCAGTAGATTTAACAGATCGTTTCTTACTAGGTGGTGACGAGATGGAATCATTGAGAAAATTATACTGTTGTGAAGATGATGCAGAAACTGTACTGGTGACTCTATGTCTACTGTAATTAGCAGAATCTTCATTCTCGCTGTCAATCACAAAACGAACTAAATATACCTGAAATGAAAATGTGGATATTATTAAATATACTCAGTTACTATCAAGTCTATAAATAAGCTCTGAATGGAAAATCAAGGTTTTTAATCAAATACATTTAACAACAAAGGACACTGCATACCAACTTACTTAAAAGTTAAGAAAATACCCCACATACAATTTATAGCAGCAGAATATCTTTGCAGAAAAATTACCAGATTTACACTTACAGATATTCTTCCTGAAAGTCAACTGGTAATCCTTGACTGTTAATGCATTCACACACTGCCCATTGTGTGTGGGGGTGGGGTGGGTGGCCTTATTATCTCATTTAGGCCTATGTCTTACAGGCATTAGAAAGAGAAGGCCTGGCATTTGATTGCGTAGACCTCAACATACAAATCACCCCAGTTTCGGCAGTAGGCCTACTGGGGACTGAAAAACTGAAACAATTTAAACAAAAAGACAAAACAAATGCACCTTGATTTGTATGTCTAAATAGTCTTAACTATCGAAATATCTTTTTTAGCCTATTACGTATTAATTAATATTGGCAGATTCTAATACTCATAGGCCTGTTTTGTTTTAGTTCTACATTGGTGTAACAAATTTAAATTACAAATATCAAATTGTGGCCTTGCCTTAGGCTTAGGCCCTAACCTACCTTATCTTTTCTCATAGGTATCTGGTTAATATTGGTGCAGCTTGGCCCTTTATTTGACACTAGAACATCGCAATTCTTTGCAGGCAGGTTAAAATAATGAGAGCATGCAGATTTTAAAGTTTTTACTGTTATTTCTGGATAGTCAAATGACACAAACTCCCTCGGTTGAACTGGTTTGTATGTTTGCTTGTTATCCGGTTCAGAGGATAGTCGCTGAACCACAATTTCCCTTGGTGGTACCGTGCCGTTTGAAGATGCGATGCCCCTTTTTGCCGTCCTCTTGTTAGACATCTTCTTTTTGAGGCGCGCCCAGATTTCATTTTTTCGATCCATTCCAATTCTAATTTCTATTCATGTTTCATGATGGCAAAAGTTTTTGACCGACGTGACCGCGAAGAAAAGGGAAATTACTCTCGTTTCAGCGCGTTCGATTACAGTTCCGGTTGAATGATAACGATGGGCTGATGATAACGATGGTCCACGTAGAGACATGCGTATTTTAGTTTTCATTTCACTTTTCGATTTAACAAAAAAAAAAAATATATTTTTTTTTTCAATTAAGTTTTAAAACTTCTTTTAAAAAAAAAAAAAAAAAATATTTTTGATTTATTTTTTTTTTATTTAAATTTATTTTACTTTGTTTTTTTTTTTAAATTATCAAAAACGATTTTAATTTAGATCTAACTGAATTTAAATTATTTTTATTTCATTTTCGATTAAGTTTTATTTATTTTATTTTGGTTTTATTTATTTATTTTTTTTTTTTAGCGAATTTTTATTTTCATTCAAATTTTTATTATAATTTTTAACATTTGCGGTGGATATTTTACGCATTTTTCAATGATAACCATGGGCCACCATACATTTGTCATGATAGACATAAAATCCACTACAGCACATTTTGGTATTAACTGTAAAATAACAAGATCTGAGTCTAGTTTGAACTGCACTATACAGTAGAGTGGATAATATGTTGTTACCTACAAATACACTCTCTAAATAGATAGATCGGATACCGTGGTAACTACAACTTACTTGATAGATGGAACAATGTATGTACGAGTTAAACTGGAATTCCATGATTGGTAATAGACAATGTAACTGCTGAAAAAGAGTATTTTTGCATTGACTCGACAATCTAAACAATAAAAAAAGACATTCTGTCATAGACTCGTCAATCTAATTGATAAAAATGATGTTTTGTAATTGACTCGACAATCTAATTAATAAAAAGGATATTCTGTCAGTGACTCGACAATCTAATTGGTAACAAGGTTTGTGTCATTGATAGAAAGGATAAATATATTATAGACAATCAAATTGGTAGAAAGGATATTCTATTATTTGCAATGACATACCTTTATTCACTACAATTTACCTTAAATTATATTCAAGCACCCATTTCATAGCAAGTCATTTTAGAGAGCTATACGGTGAGTCGATATTTAATTAAATTGTTTTCTCGAATTTCCATGTGACGATGAGTAAGCTTTAATATGGTCATTTGTTCGATCCTGTAAACTTACTTTTCAACTGCAATTATGATATCGAATAGTCCACCCAACAAATTAGTCCAGAATAAATTAAACAGACTGTTTAATTTGGCATATCTAAATTCAAAATATTTCCTTCGTTATACCCCCGTAAGACTGGGGTGGCGTCCTTACTGCGTCCTTACGGCGACGGAAAATGGTCGCAGAGCGCGTCAAGATCGCCATAAGCGCGGTAAACCCGTGGTGGTCGTGAATGGTCGCCTAGTCAGCACGTTTGTTTTAAGCTTGTCCAAAACAAACGCCAAGGCTTTGCGATCTAACCTGGAAAGTTGTAATGGCCCCAGTCAGACCGGGATGGCGTCCTTACTGCGCTGCAGCGACCCTACGGCGACCAGAAAATGCACAAGGTCGCCGGCAAACTTGAACACAACGTACGAAAATGTCCCAAAATATTACAAACTAGAACTAATAATGCGGTTTCACATCTTTCCAGGGCAGATCGCAGAACCTTGGCGTTTGTTTTGAACATGCTCAAAACAAACGCCGCGACTCGGTGATCATTTGCCACCATCGAGAAGGTTCATAATTTGTATAAATTGTCCTAATCCCTTTGTAAATTTTTTGCAAATAAAATATGTTTAAACCACCTCCGAGACAACAGCGCGATAACTGGCCTTTCCACCACGCTTATGGTGGTCTTGACGCGCTCTGGGGCCATTTTCCGTCTTCATAGCAGCGCAGTAAAGGCGCCACCCCGGTCTGACGGGGTAAAGAACAAGACTTTTTTCAAGTTTGTAAATTTTTTGGGACAATTTCCCACGCTGTCTTTGCGTTCGCCGGCGACCTTGTGCATTTTCTAGTCGCTGTACGGTCACAGCAGCGCAGTAAGGACGCGACGGGGGCATTAATTTATTTGCCACTCCCCCCTTTTTACCCATCAGACTGTATGAAAACTTATGAACGCAAAACGTTACAGATTTTGGTAGGCCATATAGAACCCGAATGAATCAAATTTGTTTCCGATTGTAGAGTTTGAACGAACTTTTCGTCCCCATTTCCATTTATTTAACCGTTGGTGGGATTGTCCATTAGGGTAAATTCGAATTCGTTTTGCAGAGTTATCATTCCGTTGACATTTTAACTGTTACAGCTTGGAAAGAGTTCATTGAGTAAAACGTGCCGTGCGGGATTTCTAGATAAAGCAGATTGTTGGGGGTGGGGGAGTGGGGTGTATTGGGAAACATTAAAGAAAGTCAGTTAGCGTTTATGACATCATTTTGTTTACAATGAATGAATCCCATTGAATTGATATGTTTATCTTTTCAGGTAATCATTGGAAACTCGTCATTATGATTGGCAGATTTTCTGGTTTTATTTCATCTTTTATTGTAAAATACCTAAAATATATCGCAATATTATTGATAATTTATCTAATAGCTTACTCCAATATATTCTCGCATTTTGAAGACAATAATCGCCTTACTGATACATTGACTGCACATTATAAACAAGTTTCTGGCAGCAATAGTTCCTTGGATGATTTCAGTATTGTCAAGTCTAGCGGGAATTTAGAATATAGTCATTCCACAGATGCATCGACTGCAAATTATAAACAGGTTTCTGACAGAAACAGATCCTTGGATATGTTCATCAGTTTCAAGTCTATCAGGAATTTAGAATATGAAAGGGGTCATTCCACAGATGCACCGACTGCTAATTATATCCAAGTTCCCGGTGAAAATAGTTCTGTGGAAAAGTTCAGCAGTTGTTCCAGAGATGCCTCTTTAATTGCTTTCGATAAAAGAAAGAATCCAATATTCGATGGAGAATATTTATTGAACAATAAGAGTATTTGCTGCGGGCCTACACCCATAACCGCCATAGTTGTTGTACACACAGACCCGCATCATTTCGGTCGAAGGCAAAATGTTCGAGAAACATATGGTTCTCGAGAATTGTTTTTACCAACCGAGATTCGTGTCATATTTCTTTTGGGACGAGTAAAAACTTTGGAAATGCAGAATAAGGTCCTAAGAGAAAATTCACAATATGGTGACATAATTCAAGGAAATTTTATTGATGCCTACCATAATCTAACATTGAAAGCAGTTATGGGGTTACACTGGGTTTCAAATTTCTGTTCCAAAGTGAAATATGTCATAAAAACTGATGATGATGCTATTTTTGATATGTGGAGGTTTTTAAAACAATTTCACGCCAAAAATCTGTATGTGTCGAAAACAATATATGGCATTTCTAAATCAAGGGATAGAATACTTCGTTCGGGCAAGTGGGGAATTGATAAAACGTTTTTCAAAGGTCAGAAGATTTATCCATTCAAATTTTGTATCGGGTTTTTCCTTATATATAGTAGTGACGTCATTCCTGCCCTATATCGCGAGTCCTACGTTGTACCGTTTCTTTGGCTTGATGATGTGTACGTAACTGGGATGTTGCGCACTGCTGCCAATGGTATCGAAATCGTAGATCGTGGAGGAAATTTGTCAATCGTTCCTGGCTCAAGTACTGGTTTCAAATGCCTACAAGAACGGGGCGATGAGTGTCCTTATTTAGCTGTTGGAAGTAATGAAAACATTTTTCATGTCATGTGGGAATTGATTATGAAACGAAATCATAAATGAAGAACAAGAAAAATAAATCATAAAATATGAAGATAGTTACGAATGATTAAAATTCCCCTTCGACTAAACGGCACACCGGTCCTGACAAAGCAGTGAGAATTTTTCATACCTTAGCCAAAATCACGGTGTTGGAAATTTACGCTGTTTTGTCAAGACCTATATTTGACTACCTGGGGGTGGGGGCGGGTGGTCACGGTGGCTAAGTGGGTAAGACGCTGGCTCGCTAGCCTGGAGGTCGGGTGTTCGATCCCTGCATTGGCCAAGAAAGTTCATCCAGATTTTCCGGCGTGATTCCCCCCTTGTCAGTGATGGAGGACGGAGGGCCTGACAAGGACAGCTGTCTAGTCGTCCGCATGTGACGAAAAACCGAGGTCCCGTGTACACATTGGCGTGCACGTAAAAGACCCCTTGACAGTTGGAATTCGATATAAGAGTAGGCTGTAGTGCCGCTGTCCGGACAAAATTTCCCTCTTAGCACACTGTATGGCGTATGCCCGTCTTCATTAGCCCAGTTCGGAGCAAAACAGTTGGACGTTAAACCCCATTTCATTTCATTGACTACCTGGGGCCGGTTGTTCAAAGCTCCGTTAACTTTTAACGACTAGTTAACATGGAGATAATTGATCGTTATCTTTAACGGAGAGAAAGTCTGTTGCTGGATACCCCGTTAACTTTAACATATCGTTAACTTGCCGTTATATTGAACGGACGTGTTGGGCATTAGTCGGCTGTCACACAAGTATACCCTTAGCAAAAAGTCATAGATGACCAGTGTAATTTTCAATAGAACATTCTAGAGGGTTGGACGATGAGGGACCTATTCGATTTTCAATAGGACGAAATTCTTTGGTTTTCTACAGAATTTTGGAGGAAAAAATAAGGTATTCTATAGTTTTTTAAAGTGTTTTCTGTATCCAATTCTAGAGGAAAAAATAAGGTATTCTATAGTTTTTTTATAGTGTTTTCTGTATCCAATTCTACAGTTATTTTTTTGCCTTTATTCAAGTTTTGTGAACAGACTGCACAGTTGTTCCATTGTCTTCAGTTTCTTGTTAATACTAACTTCTATGAAGTTGTTATACATGTACATTGAATTTAAAATTCAGCCAATGAGCAAACTGTCTTGTGTTGGATTAACTTTAACGAATGAAATTGACTTTCCAGCAAAAGAAATTTAACGGACCGTTAACAAACGACACATTAGCAAGATAATGACCCGTTAGAGTTTAATGGATCGTTAAAATAACTTAGTTTTGTGCAACCGGCCCCTGGACTTCAAACATTAATATATTGTCAACATTTTATACCCAACTCATGTTGGGCAATGCTATAACTGATGCACAGCCGATGTATTGCGATACGTATCTCAGCCAATTACAGTTATATACGTATATTGCTGCCACACATGATTGTCTGTCGGTCACAGTTTTGTTATTTCAATAGGTACTAGTTATGCCCCTTCATTATTTTACATATCCTGTTGCACAACACCATTTACTTCACCATATTATGGATACCAACGAAGGTAGTTCATTATATTTATCCCACACTGTAAGGGGGGTTTGAACTGACATTTTCTGCCATGATTATAAGGAATATTATTACAAACGATAGTTTGTGGCCACCTATCCTAATCTCCCCTCTTCTTATCGTCTACCTCTACTACTGTTCCACCCTGTCTGTCCACATCTCTGCTTATTAACCCATTACCAATTCTGGGTTGATATGCAAAATTGGTTGCAATGTCATATGAACATTATAATTGTCTGTAAGACATCCTTTATTATGGTATGTTGAAAATGGGGCGTTTACTATTTAAATAAGGCATCTGTGTCCCACCCTTAACAATGCGGTGGCTAAGTGGGTAAGGCGCTGGCTCGCTAGCCTGGAGGTGGGGTGTTCGATCCCTGCATTAGCCGAGAAAGTTCATCCAGATTTTCCGGCGTGATTCCCCCCTTGTCAGTGATGCAAGACGGAGGGCCTGACAAGGACAGCTGTCTAGTCGTCCGCATGTGACGAAAAACCGAGGTCCCGTGTACACATTGGCGTGCACGTAAAAGACCCCTTGACAGTTGGAATTCGATATAAGAGTAGGCCGTAGTGCCGCTGTCCGGGCAAAATTTCCCTCATAGCACACTGTATGGCGTATGCCCGTCTTCATTAGCCCAGTTCGGAGCAAAACAATAGGACGTTAAACCCCATTTCATTTCATAACAATACATCTGAAATAAAGATATTTTCAATCTGGTTAAAACACAGATCCTATTTCGTTTCGTTTTTATAATTCAAAATTTCGTTTTACTTGTCTTTACTACACATGGATCTGGAAGACTTGTTATTTAACTCGTGTTCTGCTTGAAATGAGGGGTCAGCCAATCAAATGATCTGGCGAATCGAGTGTTTGACCTTTTTTGCCCGGAACTGGGTAATCCACTAGTAACATCAATGCTGATTGGTTAATCAAATGTCGGTCTTTTGACCCCTGACGTGAACTATCGCTATAACTTGTCAGATCTTCATGTAGTGTAGGCCATCGAAAGTATAAAAAAACGAAACGAAATATAGATCTGTATTTTAATCAGATTGAGATATTTTAATTTAGAAAAAAAAAATAGTTCACTGCCGTTAAAATATTACGTGTAAGAACCAAAATGCCCGTGAATATCTTATATTTTACAACTTTAGAACTGAATTCCCAAATAAAAAATATCATTATTTGATTTGGCATTCATGTCAGTTTTTTTTGTATTTAGGACACTTTCAGGGTGATAGAGTTCATGTTTATGTGTGTTTAAAGTTACGTCCTTGATGGGTCACATACCATTATCTTTTCTCATTTCATTTCATTTTTCACAATGAAAGTGATAATGCACCTTTAACCCAATTTAGATTCTATCTGAAATTAATTAATATTTTTATTACACCACGGATGTTGCTAACGATATAATTATTTACAGATTAATATGGTCACGGTTATTAATATTGTGACCATGAGGTCTGTCAGATATTACAAAAGTCTGGAATGGTTCTTCAAATCTTTAATACTGGAAACTTATAATAACATGTATCTACATACACTTACAGGACCGCGGATAACTGACAAGTACCTTATGCTACTAAGTCGGATAGACCTAAATGACTGACGTATCATTGTTTGTTAGTTTAGTTTAGTTTAAACAATATTTTATTCAATAAACTGAATTGGATTGAACAACAGGCAAGGCCTATATAAGTTCTCTCCAAACATATAAAATAGTTAAATCTTATGTTTACAATACAGTGGTGACATATGTACAGACAGTGAGTAACAAACATATATACATTTTGAAGTGTAATTTTAAGTTTTAAATGTTAAAGTTTTAAAATCTCTTGCTGTCTTTTATGTATTTTTGCACTAATTCAAATATGTTGGAATTGGTATTATCTGAAAGAGAGGGGTTGCCATATAGGATCAGGTAAATTGTAACATTTTGATTAAGGTGGTGTAGATTATTTTTTAGAATTTTTCTTGGGGCAGAGCAGGCTGGACATATGAAAAAATAATGGTAATTATCTTCGTCTGCAGAATTACACCTAGGGCACATCTTTGTGTCACTAATAAAATGGTAGAATAAGTGATTATTTAAGTTACTAGCTTTATTTCTTAGTTGTTTGTTAGTTAGTTGTATTTTACGTCCGCTTCCACCGAGGTGATATCGCAGATAAACTGACGTATCATCGTTCGTTCTTGGTGTTTAACGTCTGCTTCCACATAAGTGATACCGCAGACAAGACATAGGAGAGCCGAAGCTGATTCCTGTTTTTTAGAATATGATTTTGCAATCTTTCCATTTGGCCTTAGGCCATGGATTTGGTTTAGTGGGAAGTTCTTCCCTTTATTTAATATAAAAGATATCGTTTGGTAGATGATCTCGTCTGCTTCTGGATTGGTAGATGTAATCGTTTGGGGTTAGTGTTTAGGTGCCAGACCTGTCTTATCGTGGCCTCCCCTTACTCCACTATCCCACTCTCTGGGTTTGGTATCAGTTTTATTTGCGGAATAGTGTTTAGGTGCCGAGTTCGTCTGACCGTAACTCCCCCTTACTCCACTATCCTGCTAGTTTGGTAGATGTCATCTTTGTGGGGTTTGTGTTTAGGTGCCAGGCCCGTCTTATCGTGACCTCCCCTTACTCCACTATCCCACTCTGTAGGTTTGGTGTCTGTTTTTGGTGGAATAGTGTTTAGATGCCGAGTCCGTCTGATCGTGACTCCCCCTTATTCCACTATCCTGCCAGTTTGGTATAAATCCCCTATGTAGTTTAGTGTTTAGATGCCGGGCCCGTCTAACCGTGACCCCCTCTTACTTCAATATTCTACTTAGTCCAACTGTGTCCATTAGGGCGTGGATTTGTTCGAAGATTTGCAGTTTCAGATCTGGTCTCGGGAAGAGTAGGTTCTTAGTGTTGAATGGTATGTTGTTGGTCTCCATTGTTCTCACTAGTACCCTTCTCTCCTCCTCGTATACCTCGCAGTCTACCAGGACATGGTTGGTGGTACATTCTTCTCCTCACTCACAAATGATGACTTTGTGTTTGTAGTCTCGCAGCCGCTCTTTCACCCTTAGCTTCGATATAAGTCTACAAATATCTCTTCTAGGGTGATTGAGTGTTGTCTTTGTGTAGATCTTGTCATCCAGCCGGAATCAGTATGTGTCAAGTTCAACGAGATTTAATTCCCAGATTGAATTGACCTGTCTTTTGACCATACTGTAGATTTCCGTGGTGCTGCAGTCTATGGTGCGGAGTGGCGCTGTGTCCTTGAGACCTTCATTGGCGAGTCGATCTACCTCCTCGTTTCCTCTAATGTTGACATGTGATGGAATCCACATGAGTTCTACTTTGCTTCCCTTCTCTAAAACCCTCTGGTACAGCTGCCTGATTTCCAAAATGACTTCTGGTCTTGAGTCCGAGTTGTCATTTTGGATTGAAATCAGACTGCTCAGAGAGTTGCTTGGAATGACG